TTGCTTTACATACAGTACTTTTAAGTGTCTTTGATATTTCTGCGATGCCTAAGAAGAATACTTGGCATTAAGTGGCAGGACAAGATCACAAACACTTGAGTGTTGGAAAGAGCAGGTATTACAACAGTCTTCTCAACGCTCTGTCTACAAAGGCTCAAGTGTCTGGGTCACACATGGAGGATGGCAGAGTCCCTAGGGACATCCTTTATGGTGGGTGAACTAAAGATGGGTAGAAGATGTCGAGGCCAACCTCTATTATGATATAAAGACGTGTGCAAGCGGGACATGAATGATACAGGTATTGAAGTGGACTCGTGGGAACAAAATGCCATGGACCGGGTTGTGTGGAGTATGAGAATGAAGGAAGAAATGATTGCAAAAAGGATGAGAGCCGAGATTCTGAGAAGAAACAGACTAAACACAAATGTCCACAATGTTTCTGAAATTCCATGCTATAATTGTTGAAGACTTTTCTTAACGCAGGCGGGTCTTGCTAGTCACACTCGCTATTCCCATGGGCTGTGAGTCCCATGCCTCCTCAGGATATCACTATTGTCACGAAAGACTGAAAGGTGCCAGTCGTCACATTTCTGCAGTCCATATTCTGCGTGGTCCACCTCTTGTCATCTTACTACTGAATCTATATAACATTGCATTCTGTGTGGCCATTAGTCACTGTATATTTTAAGTTTTGTTTATAGAACTTGTTATAAAACAGTGAAGGCCCACCGATACTGGCTTCAGAAGTTGAGGATTCATTGCATCACATGAAGAAAGGAAAGGCACCTAGGCCAAACAACATCACCTTGGAAGACATTGAAGCTTCTGGAATATTTTGTGGTTGAAATAATAATAACATTGTTAAAGGACATTGATAACAGTGGGTACATTCCTAATGACTATTAAAATCTATATTTATTGCTCTGCCAAAGAAACCACCAGGCACTTTAAAATGTGAAGACTACCACACCATAAGTCTTATGATCATGTGACAAAAATGTTACTGAGAATAATTATGAGAAGAATAAGAAACAAGATTAAACCAGAAATTAGTGAAGAACAGTGTGGATTGGTGGAAGGAAAAGGTACAGACAATGCCATGTACATACTCAGGACTCTTTCGGAAAGAGCTATAGAAATTAAAAACGATCTTTACTTATGATTCATTGACTATACGAAAGATTTTAATTGTGTGAAATATGAAGAAATAATCAAGCTGTAGGGAAATTTAAACATTGATGGAAAAGATTTACGAATTATAAAGAATATTTAATGGCAGCAAACCAGTTTATAACCAGTTGGGAACATTTTAGAGCATAAAGAGGGGAGTACTACAAGGATGTGTACTATCACCTGATTTGTTTTCATTGTACAGTGAATATATAATGGGATCTATCATGGATATGCCAGGAATTGGGGTTAGTGCTCATAACAACCTATGTTATGCTGATGACACTGTAGCGACAAGTCAGAAATAACTGCAGAAATTAATAGATACGGTGGTGGTAGAAAGTGATGAAATGGGCCTCAATTAGAATAATGCAAAGACAGAAGTAATGGTGATTTCAAGAAAAATAATAGTGCCTAATGCCTTAATGTGTAATAAGAGTCGAAGGCGTTATTTTAAAACAAGTACGGAAATTTAAATATCTGGGCACATAGATAACATCCGATGGAAGATGTATCACAGACAAAAAGAATAGAATAGGACAGGCCAGAACTGCCTTTTATAAAATGAAAAACATTTTGTGCTACAATCCATGTCCTTGAAGGTTACGAAAAGAATTCTTGCATGCAAATAGAGCTGGTTTTAACATACGGCTTTGAATCCTGGACAATTAATAAACAAGCCAAACAATATCTTGAGGCTGCGGAGATGTGGTTTTACAGAACAATCCTTAGAATTCCTTGGACAGCTATGAAGAGTAACCCAGATGTTTTGAAAGAGGCAGATGCTCGAAAGCATCTTATCACAAACATCAGCAAGAGACTGTCATCGTTTTAATCTTTATGTCATGAGAAGAGGAAAAATGAAACATGTTATAACCACCAGAAAGATTTGTGGAAAGAGTGACAGAGGAAAACAGCATGAGAAGATGCTTGACAGCCTTTTATCATGACATGGAGGGATGTAAACACGGAACGCAGATTGTGGAGAGACATGATCACCCACACCAGTCAGCAAGACACTTGATGATGATGATGATGAATACATCTTCCATTTTTAATACATCTTGCTGTTATCAGGTTACCCAAGTATTTAAATATATCAGCTTGCTTGAGGATTTCCTTTTTACTTTGCTGTTGCATTTTGTAATGTCTGTTTTGTTGCAATTACCATTACTTCGGTTTTTGTATTTTTCAAACCAAGACTCTTGTCCTGTCTTAATTATGTCCATTAATTCTTGCAGTCTTCGTTACAGAGAGATAATTGTTGCTGTCTTATTTTGTTTTAGTACAGTTTTACTTATATTTTAAATCAGTTTTATAATTATTTGTGTAAATCTAGCTTTTGGTGTCCTGTTGTGGGAACTTGCAACATTTGGCATGTCTCCTTACCCCGGGGTGGACCTCACCGAAGTCTACCATCTGCTGGAGAAAGGCTACAGGATGGAGAGACCTCCAGGGACACCGCCTGAGATCCACACACTCATGCTGAAATGTGAGTTACATTTCATGCTCCTTTAGTGTTTATGATGTTTTAGTATCATCTTTCCTGTGGGTTCCAGAAAGTCAAGGGGGAGGGGAGAGGAACAGACTGACTGCTTAACACGCATTTCCTAAATTGCTGAAATTAGATATGTTGGGAAAGTGAATCTTATCAGATCTATTTTTTGGCCAACACTATGCTATAAATGCCAAATGTGGACACTTACATCCTCCAATGAACGTAAAATTGTGACAACAGAGATGAATTATAGCCTTAGAAGAGCTGCAGGAGTTTCAAGGAAAGACAGAATACGAAATCATGAAATCAGACGAATGCTAGGGATAAAGCCAGTCTTACACGTCATCAAAGAACAACAAATGAAGTGGTTTGGACACCTAACAAGAATGCTCTTTTACTATCCACCACAGCGAGCCACACTAAAACGTTACAACGGGTATAGAGCGAGTGGAAGACCTCGGGAAAATATGGAGTGATGGCATTAAGAACAGCCTTACATCTTCCCCGACACTTCGATGAGGTAAAAGGTGGAAGAGAAGAAGAAGAAGAAGATATGTTGGGCTGAAAGGCATAGATGTAGCGGGGCGGTTAGTTAGATAATTCCCTTTTTTGGTTTGGCACCCCATTTGGGGAGGGGTAATAAACCCACTGCTCCCCTGATAAGCATGCTGTAAAAAGGTGACGTATTAGAGGTTTTTCCTCTGAAGTTAAAATGCATCTGCCTACAAGTAAGCCAGTTCTGTAAAACATATGTGCTTGCACAATTCAGGTTCTGGAACCAGCAGTGGAGGAACAACCAGAACTTTCCACCCGAGTTTACAGCCGGTGAATGTTAAGAAGAAGAAGTTAGATCATGTTTAGTTGGCTGGTCAGTTGGTTTGGTGGTTGGCGAAGTGGTTAGTTTGCTTGTCAGTTAGTTGGGTGGTTGGCTAGTTGGTTAGTTACCTGGTTGGTAAGTTAGTTGGCTGGTTGGTTTGTTGGTTCACTGGCCTAGTGGCTGATGGGTTTGTTTCCTGATTGATACTATTGTTGGTTGATTGATTTGTTGTTTATCTAGCTGATTGGTGAGTTGGCTGGTTGGTGATGAATCCTCAGAAGACTGAGTTTTACCTCTGAATCCGTTTATTTGCTTTCAGGTTATTTAAACCCTTTAAAAAAAAAGCTTGTATCTATTGGAATGAGGCTGCTGTACAAACTGTTTCCAGACTAAATATCAAAATACCAACTCCCTGGGGAGTGTATTGCAGAGCTCTTCTTTCCCTCTTGCTAACATTTAGTAAGACACACAGAGCTGTAATCTGGTAATCCTAGTTTCAGCTTCATAGAAAAGGGGTCACCCCATAGTTGCTCCGCTCCTGTGCCAATGAAAAACACACGTAGCTCACAGTGTCACACCATGCACTCAACTCAGAAGCTGGGCGACGAAACTATAACCTTCCAGTCTACAAATGGAGCAAAAAATACAAACGGCCACCGCCTGGCAGAAGCAAAAAAAAAAAAAAAACATTTGCCACGGCTTGAAAAAAAAAGTGGCTGTGCCTAGCGTCCATTTTGACCTGAAGCATTATGTGAGGGTTAATAAATGGTCACCCCAGCAGTACCCTCACTATTTGCTGGGGAAGGGACGTAGGACATTACATCCACCAGCAGGTGTCGCCCCTACAACGACCTTACCGCCTTTGTTTACGACTGTTCAGACTGTTCACCCAACAGCCATGCAGTTCTTTGGCACGAAGGAGACACCTTGAACTTGGGTTTCGGAATGCCGACTCCCTACAAGATGTTTTGTTATCACAGAGCTGTACTTCATGCAAGGGGTTTAGGTGACTGTGGTAGTGCACAAACTTGTGTGAAAAATGTTGATTATCTGCCTTTGTAGGTGTTGATTTGATGCAGCAGGTGCCACATTTCAAAGGAGAGGCACCTGTTAAAACTAACTGCAGGGGGACTCGAGCCTGATAAAACAGTCAAGTTGATTTGGGCTGGTATGTGACCCCAATTGGGGTTCATACTGGTCAGGACTGAGCTGCACCTCTAGAGAGTCATCCTAGAAATAGGTTTCCTACTGGGGGGCCAGACCAACATTGATAGGATCATTTTCTTCAAAGTGGAAATGAAAAAAACCCATCTGCACACAATAAGCCACATCTGTAAAACGTATACGCATGCAAAGTTCCAGTCCTGGAGCAAGATCAATTTCCAGACACAGATGGCCAGTCAGGGCTTTCCGGCAAAGTTGACAGCTGGCGATTTTTAGAAGAAGAAGAGCTGATGATGTATGGTGTTTCATTTCCAGGCATGCTGGTAACTTTCTCATAACTTGTCCCTGCAGGTTGGCAGTGGGAACCCAAGGATAGACCCACCTTCAAGGAAATTGTCTTTCTACTGGAGAACATGTTTGACAAGTCTAGCATTAATGAAGGTAAGTAAAAGTAGAATGCTATCAGTGCCAAACATGGACATTTACATCCTCCAGTGAACGTAAAATTGTGACAACAGAAATGAAATGCCTTAGAAGAGCTGCAGGAGTTTCAAGGAAAGACAGAATACAAAATCAGATGAATGCTAGGAATAAAGCCAGTCTTACAGGTCATCAAAGAACAACAAATGAAGTGGTTTGGACACCTAACAAGAATGCCCTGGTACTATCTGCCACAGTGAGCCACACTAAAACGTTACAACGGGTATAGAGCGAGTGGAAGATCTCGGAAAAGATGGAGTGATGGCATTAAGAACAGCCTTACAGAAAGGAACATCAGCCTTAATAGTGCTCTTGACAGAGCTCATCAATGAATGTTACATCTCCCCCCGACACTTCGATGAGGTACAAGGTGGAAGCGAAGAAGAAGAAGTTAAAGTAGAAAGTGAAGGACCTTTTTCACATCAGTGGCACACCAGGCATATGATACTAGATTTATCTATACTATAAAACTGAAATTTCATGTGTCTGTCTGTGACCTGTCACAAAAACGCTTCCCAAACGGTGACCAGTAGAGGAATGAAATTTGCAGATGTTATACTGGCTGCAATGTCGTGGTCAACTGCACTATTTGCAACAGGGTTTCTATACATTTCTGATAATTAATGCCACAAATGCTAAAAGTTAACATTCACTGGGGTTATTTCCCTTGAGTACCTATATATATTTTTTCATCTTTTGAAAAATGAGTTTTGAAAGAAAGGAAAAAAAACTAGATTATGCTGTTATCTCCCTTCATGCTTGAAGTGTAGACAGTAACTGTTGTTCTAGCAATAAATTAAAAGCCACTAGTATCTCCCACTGTGGTGCTATCACCCCAGTGGGTTGCTGGGGCAGTAGCTTCAAGGATCATTTTTGTTGGGGGTTGGAGCGGCCCAGGAGCCGGTAAGAGCCTCACATGCAGTTAGGAGCAATGACTAAAAATACATAATCAGTGGAGACATAGATGGAATAAAGGATAGAAGCATTTTTTTTTATTTCACTATCCTGGGAAGTTAAATGTAGTATTCTTATCGACCAGTCAGCACTCAATGAGTGACATGGTTAACATTACGCTTGTCTCCTGTACTTCCCATTCCCGGTGTATGTGTATGTACGTGTATCCATTTTAAGCTATGTTGGTTAGAAATAGTGAGACACTATTGTAACTATGAAGTTAATTCTTCAGTGTGATGTTGCAAAAGCATTAACATTGTGTTATAATTTGTTATTATGTAATAATTATTGTTTCATTCATTTTATATTCCTGTTTTTTTGTCAATATGTGCTCTGCAGAAGTTGAAAAAGAGTTGGAGAAAACAGAAAAGGGACCGCCTGGTCTACCAACTAAGAAAAATCGTGGCCAGGACACGGCTGATTTCTTGATTGATGGGCGTAACAGTGCAGGTATTGTCATGGTTCCATTTAGGTTAATATTAAGTAAAGTTATCTTCTAGTGCCTAGAGGGGGTATTATGGTTATGGTGACTGTTTTCCCCACTGTTTAGGACAGTTTAGTGCAAAGGGGGTTTAGAGCCAAAGTGTTTGAGGCGGTTTAGAATAAGAGGAATTAGAGCAGGAGAGTTTAGGGCGGTATAGAACACAGAGGTTTAGAGCCAAGAGTTTAGGACGGTATAGAACACGGAGGTTTAGAGCCAGAGAGTTTAGGGCGGTATAGAACACAGAGGTTTAGAGCCAGAGAGTTTAGGACGGTATAAAACATGCAGGTTTAGAGCCAGAGAGTTTAGGGCGGTATAAAACATGCAGGTTTAGAGCCAGAGAGTTTAGGACAGTATAAAACATGCAGGTTTAGAGCCAGAGAGTTTAGGACAGTATAAAACAAGCAGGCAGAGAGTTTAGGGCGGTATAAAACAGAGGTTTAGAGCTGGAGAGTTTAGGGCGGAATAAAACATAGAGGTTTAGAGCCAGAGAGTTTAGGACAGTATAAAACATGCAGGTTTAGAGCCAGAGAGTTTAGGACAGTATAAAACATGCAGGTTTAGAGCCAGAGAGGTTAGGACAGTATAAAACATAGAGGTTTAGAGCCAGAGAGTTTAGGGCGGTATAAAACATAGAGGTTTAGAGCCAGAGAGTTTAGGGCGGTATAAAACATACAGGTTTAGAGCCAGAGAGTTTAGGGCGGTATAGAACATGCAGGTTTAGAGCCAGAGAGTTTAGGGCGGTATAGAACATGGAGGTTTAGAGCCAGAGAGTTTAGGGCGGTATAAAACATGGAGGTTTAGAGCCAACAGTTTAGGGCGGTATAGAACATAGAGGTTTAGAGCCAGAGAGTTTAGGGCGGTATAAAACATGCAGGTTTAGAGCCAGAGAGTTTAGGACAGTATAAAACATGGAGGTTTAGAGCCAGAGAGTTTAGGGCGGTATAGAACATGCAGGTTTAGAGCCAGAGAGTTTAGGGCGGTATAAAACATGGAGGTTTAGAGCCAACAGTTTAGGGCGGTATAGAACATAGAGGTTTAGAGCCAGAGAGTTTAGGGCGGTATAAAACATGCAGGTTTAGAGCCAGAGAGTTTAGGGCGGTATAAAACATGCAGGTTTAGAGCCAGAGAGTTTAGGGCGGTATAGAACACAGAGGTTTAGAGCCAGAGAGTTTAGGGCGGTATAGAACACAGAGGTTTAGAGCCAGAGAGTTTAGGGCGGTATAGAACACAGAGGTTTAGAGCCAGAGAGTTTAGGGCGGTATAGAACATAGAGGTTTAGAGCCAGAGAGTTTAGGGCGGTATAGAACATAGAGGTTTAGAGCCAGAGAGTTTAGGGCGGTATAGAACACAGAGGTTTAGAGCCAGAGAGTTTAGGGCGGTATAGAACACAGAGGTTTAGAGCCAGAGAGTTTAGGGCGGTATAGAACATAGAGGTTTAGAGCCAGAGAGTTTAGGGCGGTATAAAACATGCAGGTTTAGAGCCAGAGAGTTTAGGACAGTATAAAACATGGAGGTTTAGAGCCAGAGAGTTTAGGGCGGTATAGAACATGCAGGTTTAGAGCCAGAGAGTTTAGGGCGGTATAAAACATGGAGGTTTAGAGCCAACAGTTTAGGGCGGTATAGAACATAGAGGTTTAGAGCCAGAGAGTTTAGGGCGGTATAAAACATGCAGGTTTAGAGCCAGAGAGTTTAGGGCGGTATAAAACATGCAGGTTTAGAGCCAACAGTTTAGGACGGTATAGAACACAGAGGTTTAGAGCCAACAGTTTAGGACGGTATAGAACACAGAGGTTTAGAGCCAGAGAGTTTAGGGCGGTATAAAACATAGAGGTTTAGAGCCAGAGAGTTTAGGGCGGTATAAAACATAGAGGTTTAGAGCCAGAGAGTTTAGGGCGGTATAAAACGGAGGTTTAGAGCCAACAGTTTAGGGCGGTATAAAACGGAGGTTTAGAGCCAACAGTTTAGGGCGGTATAAAACGGAGGTTTAGAGCCAACAGTTTAGGGCGGTATAAAACGGAGGTTTAGAGCCAACAGTTTAGGGCGGTATAAAACGGAGGTTTAGAGCCAACAGTTTAGGGCGGTATAAAACGGAGGTTTAGAGCCAACAGTTTAGGGCGGTATAAAATGGAGGTTTAGAGCCAACAGTTTAGGGCGGTATAAAACGGAGGTTTAGAGCCAACAGTTTAGGGCGGTATAAAACGGAGGTTTAGAGCCAACAGTTTAGGGCGGTATAAAACGGAGGTTTAGAGCCAACAGTTTAGGGCGGTATAAAACGGAGGTTTAGAGCCAACAGTTTAGGGCGGTATAAAACGGAGGTTTAGAGCCAACAGTTTAGGGCGGTATAGAACACAGAGGTTTAGAGCCAACAGTTTAGGACGGTATAGAACACAGAGGTTTAGAGCCAACAGTTTAGGACGGTATAGAACACAGAGGTTTAGAGCCAACAGTTTAGGGCGGTATAAAACATAGAGGTTTAGAGCCAGAGAGTTTAGGACGGTATAGAACACAGAGGTTTAGAGCCAGAGAGTTTAGGGCGGTATAGAATACAGAGGTTTAGAGCCAACAGTTTAGGACGGTATAGAACACAGAGGTTTAGAGCCAACAGTTTAGGACGGTATAGAACACAGAGGTTTAGAGCCAACAGTTTAGGACGGTATAGAACACAGAGGTTTAGAGCCAACAGTTTAGGACGGTATAGAACACAGAGGTTTAGAGCCAGAGAGTTTAGGACGGTATAGAATACAGAGGTTTAGAGCCAACAGTTTAGGACGGTATAGAACACAGAGGTTTAGAGCCAGAGAGTTTAGGACGGTATAGAACACAGAGGTTTAGAGCCAACAGTTTAGGACGGTATAGAACACAGAGGTTTAGAGCCAGAGAGTTTAGGGCGGTATAAAACATAGAGGTTTAGAGCCAGAGAGTTTAGGGCGGTATAAAATGGAGGTTTAGAGCCAGAGAGTTTAGGATGGTATAGAACATACAGGTTTAGAGCCAGAGAGTTTAAGGCAGTATAAAACATACAGGTTTAGAGCCAGAGAGTTTAGGATGGTATAGAACAAGGAGGTTTAGAGCTGGAGAGTTTAGGGCGGTATAAAACATAGAGGTTTAGAGCCAGAGAGGTTAGGACAGTATAAAACATACAGGTTTAGGGTGCTATAAAACATAGAGGTTTAGAGCTGGAGAGGTTAGGGCGGTATAAAACATACAGGTTTAGAGCCAGAGAGGTTAGGGTGGTATTAAACATACAGGTTTAAAGCCAGAGAGTTTAGGACAGTATAAAACATACAGGTTTAGAGCCAGAGAGGTTACAGTCGCATGGCTAGTTTTGTTGTCACAAACTGTGAAGGTTATGATTTTTCTAATTATTTTTTTTTACCCTCCAAAAAAAAACCTGGTCATCTCAGTCCTGATTTGAACCTGAAACTCGTGAATGAGAGTAAAGCACAGGCAGTCGCTCCTGTTTGTTACTTTAATCATCATCAACAATTTACCTATTTGTCCTTATTATTATTTTAGTCATTATCATCATCAGCGGTAATGTTATTTTAGTCATCATCATCAATTTCCATTTTGCTGCTGAGATGTGTGCGGATGAACATTTGTTACTTCCAGAAAGTTGTATCTTAGGAACTTCCTGTGATTGTTCTGGGGCTCCAGTGTAGGGAGAGAATAGACCCACTGTTCCCTTACAAGCATGTCGTAACAGTCAACAACTAATTAGGGATGTTTCTGTTGAAGTTGGAGTGCATCTGCCTAAGAAGCGAGGAATCAACAATGTGCATACAAATAAGAAAGATCTGTAAAACGGATGTGCATGCAAAACTCAGTCTCTGGAACAAGACTAAAGTGCAGAAGTAGATAAACAGGAAGGAATTTTTGTCAGTGATTAAGCTGATGAACGCCAAGAAGAAAAAGAATGTTAGGAATGCATTTGACTTCCGGTTTGTTGCATTGTGGGGAAATTGCATGGGAAGGAGTATCACAGGAAAAGTGGAGAGCAAGAGAGACAGGAAAAGACAGAGTAAAGCTGTTGGACATCATGGTATAAAAGAACTAAACACCATACTGGAGGGAAAGCAGACGATGATACCTGTGGGAGGACGGCATCAAGAGATGAATAAACAGGTGTGAGAGAATGTAGCACCAAGACATGACACAGAAAGTGTTGGAGATCCATTTCAGCCAACCTTTGTTGTGGAGATGGCACTTGATTGATTGAACCCAGACAGGGAGCTGGCTGCCTAATCCCAGTCAAAACTTGCTACCAAAGTTGGTCATGGATTTTCCTCTCAGTTGATAGCTGGTACTCCATTGGGAGATCTTCTTTTTCACATTGGCTGAAAGTTCTGGTTGCTCGAGCATTTCTAGACTTTAATCTTGTTCCAGAACTTGAGTTTTTGTGTGCACAACCGTTTTACAGATATGGATTACTTCTAGACTTTTGGTTTCTCCATTGCCCAGAAGATGCCCTCTGACTTTGTTGAAAAAACATCCATAATTAGTCGACTTTTCAACATGCCTGTTGGGGAGGGGAGGGGCAGCAGTGGAAAAATACTCTCTTTTTCTCTATGTGGCCCCAGAACTCATACGGTGACATTGGGAGATGAAAGTCAGAAAGAGAAAAAAAAGCAGAAAGAATGAATAAATTGTTGAAAAAATCCTGCTTTTTTTTTTTGTATTAATCAATAATTTTTTTTATTGAAGTTAAACTGGAGGTACTAAATGTATTGTTTTAAATATTCCATACTCAGGCCCTACGCCTCCAGCAGGGAGAAGAGTCTTGTCTGTGCTAGAGGAGGCAGACATTACTGCAGCAAAAATGAGTGAAGCACTTTACAGAAAGTCTTCTAGAAAGAAATCTGGCAAGTCAGCACCTCTTCCGCCACGTAGGACAACGTCCGTTGAAAGATGGACTCCCTGAGTCAGGCGGTGGGGATATTGACATGGAACTGAAGAATCGGATCCGTCTGCAAAAAGCAAAACTGGAAAGTTCATCTTTTGTTGAAGAAGGAGAGTTTGTAGATAGCGGTCTGGGTATGGATTCGGCTCATCGTGGATTCTCGTACTCATCTTATAATTCCTCTATTCCTCCAGCATTGAAAGCACAGGGAGGTCAGATCAGCTCCCCAACCTTCCTTAGAGAAGACAAGGCTAGCAAGGCTTCAGTGGACAACCTCAAGGCAGCTCAGATCGACCGATCTAAGTATCTCATTTCTGAAGCCAATGCGCGGACGTTTGAAAAGCATGCGCCAGAACGTAGCAGTACTAGAAGCATGGACACTAGGGCTGGAGAGAGACTAGACGGCAGCCAGGACATGGGGTTCATAGTGTCAGGGCAGTACAACAAAAAGGCAGTGCTGCCTCCGCAGCGTTCGGCAATGCTGCCTCGCAAGAAACTTTCAGAACATTCTTTGCCACACGAGTTGTCGCACAGTGTTAGTGTGGATGAAACTGACTTGGACAGCACTCCCAGGGTAGGGAAGTTGGATGTGACAAATGTTACCAAGGCAATTAACAGGTATGGGACTATCCCTAAAGGTGTTAGAATAGGCGCTTATTTAGAATCCATGGAGAGGGAACAAGAAAGTCACGGGCATGAACTGTCTGCAGTCGACGATCATGACTCTGGGACGGACAGTGCTAGCGTCACTTCCTGTCCTGCTTTAGGCGGGGATCACAGTATAGAAGCCGGGCCAGGGGTGAGTTTAGGGCTTGCTGTGAAAAGAGTAGAAGGATTCAGTGAGGACTCAGATCCTGGCATTAAACAGGAGCCCAATTTAAAACCATCTGCCTTTGTGAAGTCTCAGTCGCAGCACGGGCTCGGTGACGGCGCACCCACTGCCGGCTCACATCAGCACCAAGGGGTACAAACATCCAGCTCCACCAACGTCAAGTCTCAGTACTCCGGCCTGCTGCAGAGGCATAAATCAGATCTCTCCTCATCCAGCAAACCTTCCACGCCTTCCGAGCTCTTCACCTCATCAGACCAGATGATCACATCAACAACATCTTCCGGCTATCAACATCCCACTTCTGTCCATCGCTCAGACACAGACCCCCTCTCCCATCTAGTAGACCACTCCCCACCCCAGCCCGCTCCCCCACACTCAGCCCCTCCCATCACATCACACTTTCCTGACCTCTGCGGTATTAATAAACCCAAACCTAGCCCTAGATTTTCCCGCCAGTACGGGGATGGGCTTGGGGTTCAGGACCAGCCTCAACTTCAGATTCGGCCGCCTTTGGCCGCAGTGCCTGCCAACAATTTAGCCACCGACTGCTCCGTTTTGAACAGCTCAGAATCATACAAGCCTCCAGCCTGGATGGTGGGGCTGAAGTCTCGAAGCGAGGACAACCACCAGCAGTCCAACGGTACGCCCAGCAATGTCAGCTCATTCAAAATCTACACCAAGCCTTCAGTGAACATAAACTCCCACCTGGAGCAGAAGCATCAACAGTCTCCTGCTCTACGGGAGACCAGCATAGACCAAGTCAACAGTGGAAGCTTCGCCACATCTGCAGAGCCTGCCTCCTCTGGCAGATCTGAGACTGTAGCTTACCGATCCACCGGTGTCAAGCTGCTGCCCACCACACCTGGTGGAGGTCCACTCTTAGAGTCCATTTCTATGAGCGGCAGTTACATTTCTGACCCCCAGCAGACGCCGTCACCAGCTGGAGATGGGGTCGGAGGTCAGTCTAACTGTACAGAACCTGTCAACATTGACTGTATTAAATCAGCCTCTGATAGGTTGAACTCCTGTATTGACAAACTGGCACAAGCAGGGAATAAGTCGAGTACAAATTTCATGCTCCTGTCAGAAGAAGTCCTGGCCTTTTACGGCCTTTGCTCACGATACATTGATGCTTTGCCACCTCATGCCAAATTCCACGCTCGGGAACTGTTAACACGAATGCAGGCTCACAGCCAGAACTTGAAAACCTACACAAGCACCTCTCCCTCTGGGGGTAGCAAACTACTTGATGATATACAGTCAACAAATAAGGAGATAATGACTGTTATCCAGAGATAGCGTGTCTGTTGAACTTATCTGAGCATTGTTCTTCTTATAAATTCTGCTAGTAAATGTTCCCTGGGAAATGGGGAATTCCCAGCTGTTTGGTGGGCCGTGTTTATGTTCCCTGGGAAATGGGGAATTCCCAGCTGTTTGGTGGGCTGTGTTTATGTTCCCTGGGAAATGGGGAATTCCCAGCTGTTTAGTGGGCCGTGTTTATGTTCCCTGGGAAATGGGGAATTCCCAGCTGTTTGGTGGGCTGTGTTTATGTTCCCTGGGAAATGGGGAATTCCCAGCTGTTTGGTGGGCCGTGTTTATGTTCCCTGGGAAATGGGGAATTCCCAGCTGTTTAGTGGGCCGTGTTTGGCTGCAATAAATAATATATTTAAATACACATGTTTACTTTTAAGAAAGAGATGATGTGTGAGGTGCAAATGTAAATTCAGCTGTTGATGTTAAAAAGGATTTGTTAATTATAAATATTATGTAGGATATTTTTAGATAACATCTACTGCCAGGAAATGCACCTTATTGAGTTGCCAGCATCCGGTTGTTATGTCGGCCATATCAGGTTGTCGCTTTCTTCAGTTGATCCGTATGTCTCCTTGGTATATTGCCTTAAAGTTAACCATCATGAAATTTTTAAAATCTTAGTCTGGATGGCAGACCAACAGGGCAGATCCAGGATACCCCCTTCAACCTGTAAAGAAATTATAATTTGGGTGTCTGTTACAGACTAACTTATGTAACCCGCAGATTAGGTTATCTTCTTCATTTCTTCTTATACTGCAACGGGTCTCGGGAGAAGTATAAGGTTCTGCCTTCTTGATCTGGCTGGTCGCCTCGATCTAAGAGACACACCGGGCTGCTGTATTGTTTCTCTGATGTTATCTATCCATGTTGTTCTTGGTTTGCCTCATGGTCTACATCCCTCTTTTCTGGTGTGTGCCTTTTCTTGTGTGGTAACAAAGCATTCTCTTTTAATGAGCAGACCATTTGATTTGCTATCTTTGTATACGTTTTAGACTTGGTTCTGTGCTGACTTGTTCTCTTATGACCTCATTCCTGATTTGATCTCTTCTGGTCATTTCTGAAGTCTTTCTCAGACATCTCGTTTTCATGGTTACTAAGTTTCTGTCTAGTTGTGAGTGACCATGTCTGGCACTGGTAACATGGGGAAGAGGTGAATATGCTTTCTTTGTATGTGATGTTTATTTGTGCTGATTGGGAATTGTCTTAACAGTAAAAAAAAAATGGGGGGGGGGGGGGGCACTATAGTTATTTGATGACTGTCCAAGTTGGAATGCCTGTATAAGGCAGCAGTTCTTCGATAACTGTCCTAGTTGGAGTGGCTATACTAAGCTTTAATTATTTGATAATTTTCATAGCTGGAAAAGTCCATATTAGTCTGCCGGTATGACTTTCCTCGTTGTGATGGTCATAAAAGGCTGTAGTTATTTGATAACTTTCCTAGTTATATTGGTTATAATAGGCTGTAGTTATTTGATAACTTTCCTAGTTGTGATGGTCATATAAGGCTGTTATTTGATAACGTTCCGAGTTATGATGGTTATAAAAGGCTGTAGTTATTTGATAACTTTCTAGTTGGGATGGTCATATAAGGCTGTAGTTATTTGATAACTTTCTAGTTGGTATGGTCATAAAAGGCTGTAGTTATTTGATAACTTTTTAGTTGGGATGGTCATAAAAGGCTGTAGTTATTTGATAACTTTTTAGCTGGGGTGGTCATATATGGCTGTAGTTATTTGATAACTTTCCTAGTTATGATGGTTGTAAAAGGCTGTAGTTATTTGATAACTTTCTAGTTGGGGTGGTCATATAAGGCTGGGTTATTTGATAACTTTCCTCGTTGTGATGGTGATATAAGGCTGTAGTTATTTGAAAACTTTCTAGTTGGGGTGGTCATATAAGGCTGGGTTATTTGATAACTTTCCTTGTTGTGATGGTCATATAAGGCTGTAGTTATTTGATAACTTTCTAGTTAGGGAAGCCCAGATTAGAATGTAATTATGAGATTATTTTCTTAGTCATGATGGCCATAATTTGACTCTAGTTATCTGGTAGTTTCCTAGTTAAGTAAATAGTAAAAGGGCCCTTTTCCAACACCCCTAGGCATATAGGGCTAGACCTATATTTTATAGACCAATCGACGCTCGGTGGGTGATATGGTCAGCATCACGCCGACATTACTCTGTAGTTGTTTGATAACTTTTCTTATCAGGGAACAAGTTTCAAACTGTTTCCTTAACATTGATAGGTGACAGTAATTAATATATGAGTAATATAAGCTTTGTGTTAAAATTTAAAACCAAAATAAAAGCAGATTTCTGGTGTGTAACATGTTGATGAACTGTCGAGAGTATAGTATTTGCTTCATTTATTGTGCAATGCGGCATTGTTTACTATCGGATCTGGCTGTTTTTTTTTATGAAGAAATTACATTTCCCTGTTGGATGTAAGAGTGGGAAATAATTTGAAAGTTAAATGACCAGTACGGTAAAAATCATTTGTCACTGCTCACATGTGAAGCATAAAAGCTTATATGTAAAATTAATCAGCACAAACAAGGAGATGCTGTATCCTCAGATGTTAAATGATTTTGTGAAAGTTTTAAGTTTTGGTGATGTGTGTGTTGCTGTGTCTGTGGTCTCTGAATAGCTTTTACTGTTTGATTGTATGTTAGTCAGTGTGTCAGGTATGTGGTGGGTACAATTATGCATTTTGTGATGAGCTGTTTTATTTTAATTCTTTCAGTTTGAGTGGTTAACTAGCTGGATTGTGTGTGTATGTGTGCTTCTAATCAAAGAGATCTGGTTTAAATCCAGATTATGTTACGCACTAGTCACTGTCTACAATGCAGATGTTTTATTTCGCTGTGAGTGTTGGAAGATATGTGGAAGGGAACGGGATTATTCATCATATGTCAGTGGATGTTGCAGTCATCATCATCATCATGTAGAAAGGACTATTCAGCCCACAGCCCGGGTGCCAAATCTGGTCCCCAGATGCCTAGCAAGTGGCCCACGGATCATTGCCAGTTTGTATTTAAATGAAATTGTTATAATATGGCTCTGGACCTCTGGCAAATGACGATCCTATTACAAAAACGTGGGTCCTTGAGTAAACTTTCTTAGTTGAAGAGCCTTGATGTTGAAGAACCATTGCAGAACATCACTGACGCACTGACCCACTTTCTCTCCATGTCTACAGTCAGGTTTCTTCAGATCACCCACTGGAAAGCTATCCTTGCAAAGTGTTGACATTCTGCAAACATGTCCAAGCCATTTCAATCTTCTTCCTTTAATGCAGTCACTCTTAACCCTCCTAATGTGGCGACCCTTTAATACATTTCCTAATATTGCGGCGACCCCGAACCATACAATTATTTTCATTACTTCTTCATAACTTTAGTGAATTAGTGTTTTCTAATGGTCTTTGGCGACCCCTTTGTAAGGACTGTACGACCCACAAAAGGGTCATGACCCACAGATTTAGAATCGCTGCTTTAATGTTTGTCATCGATGGCCATTTTGTTTACCTTCGCAGTTCTTCATCTGTTATTTCATTTGGCCAGAATATGCAGTTAGCATTGTTAGGCATGATTTAGACATTTTAAAACCATTCCAGCGATTGGCAACTTCATGTTGATGATGATGAAAACATGATGATGATGATGATGATTGCTTGTTAGGGTAAACATTAATAATCAAAAGATTTGTGTGTCCTTGCCAGAATTTCACTACTGTTAGTAATCAAACAGATACTTTTAAGATAATTATTTTGGCTTGCATTTTTTTTTTTTTTTTAGCTTTACAAGTTTGTGTACGTTTTTTTTTTTTTTTTATAAATCTTAGGAAATTGCTCATTTTAGAAAATTAATTATGAAGCTATAAAATGTGATCATTTGTCATTGTGGAATATCCTGTGTAATTGTGAACTGTCACAGATAGCTTTCAAATAAACACAAGCAATTGTAAAATTCTTGTATCAGAGATACTTTCATGTCATATTGAAATTATCATGAATAGAATTGAAAGTGTCACATGTCTTTGCAATACTGTCACAGATAGAACTGAAATTACACAATCCGACAGTTAAACAATGAGATTGATTTTTTTATGTCTAAAACAAACACACCATCCACAAAGCAAAGCATTTACTCCAAACAGGCACCATTCATCTATGATTTGATCAGCAGATAGCAGATAAAACCGGCCATTTTGTGAATCTAGAGAGAGTTACATGGTTAAGTATGCAGTTAGGAGCACAAATTAAACATAAAAATTTTGTTTTAAATTTGGAAAGGTGCTCTTGAGACAGTTCAGTTGATGAGACAAGTTTATGAAGATCAATGTTTATCTAATTTAACACTATTCATCTGCCATTATCCCCCACAAGTCAGATATCGGTCTTCATGTGTCTGTATTATGACTTTGCCAGTGAGTTTATCATTACGAACAGAAGCTGGACCTCGGGTCCAGCTGGACCTCGGGTCCAGCTTCATCCTCAGTTTTTTTCCGCACAGTTGAATTGTGAATACCACCTGAATATATGGGTACGAGATAAAAACACCCATTCCCATAAACTTATGAATTCAACTGTCTCAGTAATACTTCAACCAATTACTTAACCACATGTACACAAAATTCAAGATAAGTGTATCAGCTATGTGCACCTGTGGAAAGGTGCCCCAGACAGCAGAGCATGTACTCCAGGACTGCACCGAATTTGACACATTAAGGCAAACCTTTTGGCCAGAAAGAACAGCAGTGGAACGTAAACTCTATGGACCACTGAATGAACTAACAACGACAGTGAAATTTATACAAGAGACAAAACTACTGATATAGACAACTTATTTCAAGCGAATGAAAGAAGAAGAAGAAGTAATACTTTTACAGTTTAAAATATAATTTAATGTTCATTCTTTGTTCCATGCTGCATATGTAACAAAGCAACTCTCATTAGTTGAACAGAATGACAGGTTATTTGTCACC